AGACATACAACATTTTACAACATATCACAAGCACAATACAGACAATACAGAGTTACAAACAAAGTGGTAGGGAATTAACAATGGTGGTTGTATTATATAGTTAATTCTCTGTATTTATGTTAAAACTAAACTGGTTACAAAATATATATTTATACTTTAGACTTGTGTGGATCAAGCCATAAGTGAAATCTAGAAAATATGAAGTATGCATGCATCTGCGTGCACACACACACACACACACACACACACTGCACATTCAAATGGATAGCAATCTAACTGCGACAACGCTTCACTCTTGGAGTCATGTCTTCTTTGAGTTAGAGACTGAAAAATCAGTAAATGAATTGTTTGAAGGCAATATTTACATTTACAATAGTACATATCAATAGCCCTCATAAGTTGGTGTCACATTTATGAAAAAGAAAAGGTGTTATTGCTGTCAGTTGTAACAGAGTGATTTGGGTGACTGTGAGAGTGACGGCATTTCTTATTTGGAAATAGGTGGAGGAAGTCGTTGGCCAAGTGATAGGATTTCAGAGCTCCACAAGTCCCAGTCTGAACCAAATTCACTCTGCTAACTAGTCTTATTCTCTCAATACTACTAATGCCACTGGAGTTTAGAGAACGAAACTAGAGGCCTTATTTCCCAAAACTCAGTAGGTTAAAATATATGTATTCACCTGAGATGATATGGAGGACTTTGTTAGTAAGAACTGGCATCCCTTTCCAGTCTTTGTCTTATATTTTTGGAAATCAAAGGCAGGAAGATGAAGGAGGAGGTATTTGTCTATGTTTGTCTAGTTATTGAGGACACTGTGCAATGAGACATAGGACGATGACACATTTCATTGGAGGAGGAGGGCACATGATTTGTCACATTCTTTCTCTGCTTCCTTTTTTAAAAAATTTTCATGGAATAGCACATTATAGGGAATAAGAAAGTCTGTAGGGCCAAATGTATCTCTAGGATCTACGAGTTCACTGGGAGATTTTGTTGGTTTGTAAGCAGGAGGATTAATGGAACAATAACCCTGAGATGTCAATCCCAAAATGCACTTTCCAAATCCACCATAGACAGAAGGATACCCTAAGAGATTCACTTTGTCATCAAAGATGTGTCTTTGAAGTATGCTCCATGTACAGGTGAACAGATTTTGAGACTGACCTGGTCAAAGAATGAAGATGAACAGAACAGTTCTGTGAATGTGTGTACCCTGTAGAGCGAAGGTTAGCAATATTCAAATAATTTACCAAAGAGAATATAAATACTGTGCATCGCCCAGCTGAAACATGGTTGTGCACCTTCTGAATATCAGGTTAACCAGTTCCAAGCAGATTTGAAATCTTTCCCTGTTTCCATCTGAGCAAAAAGCTTTGTGCCCTTTCTAAGCATAAACTGATCTGGCACACATCTCAAAACATTCATGCGTTTTGCTGCGAATGAAATAAGCCCCTTATTGTACTATTCTACAATTCATTCATGCATGCAATCATTTATTCACCTATGTACAAAAGAATAGCACCTGTGATATAACCAAATGTCACTAAGGTTTAGATCCATACTCAGATGAAAATCACCAATTTTCTTACTGAAAACTTTTCCAAGTGAAATAACTGAGGAAGAAGTACAATTTAGAAAAAGTTTAAACAACACAAATTGAGATAATTTAGAAGACCCAAGCCTGCAGTGTGTAACCTGGGAGTGTGTAATTAGTCCTCTAACAAAGTGAGTATATGCCAAGGCACAGGCTGCATCTTGCACACTACCTGAAGAAATCAAGTTGGAATTGAAAAAAACTGTCTATAAAATTCCTGGCAAGGTTAGGTGTCCCTGTCTATGCAAGGCCTGTTTTCTTTTACCTGGTGGCTCATGGACATGTAGCTGTATCAATGCTGATGTAACAAAATACTGTATACTCCTCCCTCATATCAGAATAACATTAAAACAAGACTATGCCCAGTGTGTACTACACATTGTGTTATAAAATACCCCTTCTTAATTCGCATTAGTTGTCTAGAAAACATAGTAAAAGAAATCCTCTGTGATTTTACGGTGGGCTTTGTTTTTGCCAAAGCTTTTAAAAAACGATGGTAGGCAGATTACCATCAATGGGTAGGCACTCTTTCTAGCAAATAGTAAACGGCAGTCTAGGTCTACACAGCTTAGGTTGTGGAAATCAAGAAAACTTTATGTTGCTTCCAAAAATGTCCACTAAGTATATATTTGCATCTTAAGCAGAATTAAAAAGTCATTTGTCTTAGATTGTTGTACTGAAATCATCTTAGATTGTTTCCCCTTTGTATCCAAAACTGCCTTCTACTTTAGAGAGTCTATCTTGGCTGCAATTTCTCATACGCTAGAAATGGCCGGAAAGTAGGGGCCAAATTAGAGTCGGGTGTAATTGCTTCATGGGCCACATGTTCTCCACTAGTTCGCTAGATTGTTTCTCTTTACTATTAACAGAATGCTATCTATAGAAACAACATTTTGAGCTCAAAGTATACATAAAATTTGGTATCCTACTTTTTTCAGTTAATATTTTATTGGAGAAATTTTCCATGTCAGTAAATTTCTAGAACATGATATTGAAAACACGACTTTTAAAGGCCACATGATCTTCTT